AGACACACAGAGACACACAGAGACACACAGAGACACACAGAGAGACACACAGAGACACACAGAGACACACAGAGACACACAGAGACACACAGAGACACACAGAGACACACAGAGACACACAGAGACAGAGACACACAGAGACACACAGAGACACACAGAGACACACAGAGACACACAGAGACACACAGAGACACACAGAGACACACAGAGACACACAGAGACACACAGAGACACACAGAGACACACAGAGACACACAGAGACACACAGAGACACACAGAGACACACAGAGACACACAGACACACAGACTCACAGAGACACACAGAGACACACAGAGACACACAGAGACACACAGAGACACACAGAGACACACAGAGACACACAGAGACACACAGAGACACACAGAGACACACAGAGACACACAGAGACACGCAGAGACACACAGAGACACGCAGAGACACACAGAGACACACAGAGACACACAGAGACACACAGAGAGACACACAGAGACACACAGAGACACACAGAGACACACAGAGACACACAGAGACACACAGAGACACACAGAGACACACAGAGACACACAGAGACACACAGAGACACACAGAGACACACAGAGACACACAGAGACACACAGAGACAGACACACACAGACACACTCACAGACACACACACAGACACACACACAGACACACACACAGACACACACAGAGACACACACACACAGACACACACACAGACACACACACACAGACACACACACACAGACACACACACACAGACACACACACACAGACACACACACACAGACACACACACAGACACACACAGACACACACACAGACACACACAGAGACACACACACACAGACACACACACACACAGACACACACAGACACTCACACACAGACACACACAGACACACACACACACCCCCACACACCCACACCCACACACACCCACACACACCCAGACACACCCACACACACACCCACACCCACACACACACACACCCACACACACACCCCCCCACACACACACGCCCACACACACACCCACACACACACCCACACACACCCACACACACACCCACACACACCCCCACACACACACACCCACACACCCCCCCTCCACCCCCTGTGTTGCTTTTGCTTCGCATGTTGACCCTGCAACAACCATTGTCATGTTGGCTCAAGGCCCCTCTCGTATCACAGGCAACGCAGTACTCATTCTGCAGCCGTTACAGAAGGAGTCCAGCAGAGCGCCTTACGGGAATAAACTACAGATAGGACCAGGGACATCCATTCTCAGTTCCTCCACTATTGGCATATTGGACTGTCTTGCAGAATAGATCCAGGGACCGCACATACATTCTCCACTACCAAAAGGCACATGTTAAATTCTGGGATACGGTGTAAACAGGCAGTGGGTCTCAATTGGAGAGCGGGTTTTCTGAAGAAATCCATACACAATGTCATGAGAAGGCTTCATGGAAGCCTATTCAAGTGTTGGCCGATCGTCCGGCTACACTGAAGAGACGCTCAACTTATCGATGACCGCCAAGCAGCCGCCGTCGTACGACGGAAAAGTCAGCTGGTTTCGATATGGAGAACTTGTAGATGACCGGGTGACCTTCACCACCATCGAGGCATCCAAGGCAGTCCTCCAGAATGACCTCTTGCAAGATCCTGACGAAGGAGTCAACTATTTCAAGAACACGCTGAAGAAGTTCTTCCTGAAAGGGTCGACCAACGTGTACTTATACAGACTTCTCAGTTTCTTCAATCACAGAAGGCAGAACACCGAGTTCCTCATATTCACATCAAAATTTGAGATTCTCTTGATGAGATTGAAGGCAGCCTGGATGGACTTGATGCCCACACATAGGGCGCAGTCACCAGAGTTCATAGCATCCGTACAAGATGCCAATGCAAGAAGAATTGCCGCGCCAGCAAGCAGCTGGTACACGAGCACCGCCTCCAGATCTGCTGCAAATCGACAATCCAGAAGTACTCAGGCAGTACATCACCGGCGTGCAGACAAGGCACAGGGACGCATTTCCCCTCAGCGACAACCTCATTGCATCAATTTTTCATAATCCAGAGTGAATTGTCATTGAGAAACATCTCGCTTGAGAACTACACCTATGAGATGATGAAAACGCAGTCACGACCTCTTCATCACGACCAGAACTTCCATCCAAGATCCATCCGACCCCCCGGAGGAAATCGGAACAATACCTTCTACATCATTCTGGGTGGAAGACGAAGAAGGACTGGAAGGTTTCATGTCAACCAACGATGAAGAGACATTTTGGGTACTGGAGGAGAACGATGCGTTCATGGCAAGAAAGGTGTCTGGGCGGAATTTCAGATTCAAGAAGAGGAAAGGAAAAGGAGAATCAACAAGCAAGAAGGGCAGTCACCAACGAGGTGGCTTTTTTGAAAAGGTAGCTCTGGCGGGAAGGCCAATGTGGCCAATGAATATCAGGATCCCTACGACCAGGCATATTGGGGAAAAGGCAAAGGAAAGAAGGGAAAGAAAGGAAAATGAAGGTTATCCATCCTACGACAATCTGTTGGAGGGTGGAGCCGGCAGACCGAGACCGGTTTGGACACGAAAACAGGCTGGGCGAAGCGGAGCTTGACTGGATCTTCAATTGCTGCTATGGATTATATACTCCGGTTGCGTGTGCGCGACGTACAACCACACCCGCTTCGTTTACCAGATGTGTGGCCGATTGACGAGGAATTCGCGGAATACACCAAGGGGTGCTATTACGTTATCCGAGCCCTGGGTCATGACGCCCGTTCGATACTAAGGGCCGAAAAACGAGACGGGCGACAAGGAGGGAAGGGAACAGAAGTACTTTTTGGACACATGTTCCTAAATTCTTGCCAGCCGATCAGTTTTTCCGGCCTGTGTCAATCACTCTCGAACAATGGAAGGAGCATTGGGTTGAGTCCCGAGATGGTTTCAAGAGCAAAGACCTTCCGCGCACATACCGCCGCACGACGATCGAGGAGTACGTCGAGATGAAAGGCGTCATCCGGTTGATGGGACTGTTCTGCCTAGAACTCTACCTGAACCTTCTGAACATGTTTGAAACAGATGATCTTTGGAAGGATCTCAAGGAGTTGAAGGATGACGCCATTCAGACGTACAAAAGTCCCGAATTGCGTGCTGCGAGGAACAACGCGTTGGACAAAATGTTCGAGGTTTTCAACATTGCCATCGGAACCAGTTTTAACGTCGACACCTATTTCTTCTTCCAATCCAACATTGAAGGATGAAGGGTGGCAAGCTTATCCCGTTCGACTCGCCGTGCACATGCCACCCAAGACTTGTTATTGATGAACTACCACGGGATGCATTTCAGTCCTATTCGTCGTGCGCCACGGGAGAATTACAACAGGCTGAAATCTCAGGGACTGACCATTCAGTCCCGGATCCTACTAATTGGCAGATGGGGAGGCCGCAACTCCGCCGAATTTCGGCAAGAAGCAAAAGAAGAAGAACAAATTCGTGGCGGCCGAAACCCCGAACAGCCAGAGAGGGGATGGCAGAGCGAAGGAAGACGGGTGAACGGTCGGGCACTCCGGTCCACCAGCCCGGCTCCACGCAATGCCGAGCGACAAGGGGAAGCAAAAGGGAAAAGGGAAAAGCAAGGAAGCCAAGGCCCACACTTCTAACGGTGGGAAGTGCGTGATCGCACTGACGTACGTGACGCGCGTTGGTCGGGTTAACGAGCGCTGGTGAGCGGGGTTTATCAGCCTATATTATTTGGCGCAAAAGCGCAGGGCTCGTTGCTTGTCGGACCGAGAGTACCAATGCGCACAATGTATCATGCACTTCCTATTCCGTTCCATGTCTACAAGCCATATTCCAACGTCAAAGCCGGACAAGCGGCAACATTTTGCTCTGGTCGACCTGGCATAAGGGATCCTCGTTATACTCACCTTTCACATAGGGCATTAAAATTACTCTCCGAAAGTCCATGGCTAAGGTGTAGACCGGCCGCTTCTGCACCGACAACCGGGTAGGCAGTGCCGATGTGTTTGCTCTGGGACACGAGGGCCGCCAAGGTATTATGTCTTCATGTGAAGATGATAATGCGGTGTCGCCCAACTCTTCGCGCATTTCCATTACAAATACCCTTTCCGAGATTTGGGCGCTTTTACGGGGAAAGCGCTACCGTTTGACGGAGCGTTAGTACCCAGTGCGTGAATTTTGAATGCCTCACGACATGAAATGCTGCAAGCCAAAAAATTTTGTTGAGTCGGCAAGTTGATGGGTTGCGATATGATGGTCCCACAATGGAAATAGTTTCCACAACTACCTCTGCGCAGATGGCTCATACTGAGGCATACTGCGTGGGGGGTGTGAGTAGAACAGGGCCCATCATCATGCTAGATACAACCATCGTGGACATTTGGCTCAAGCAACGCATGTATCTTTTCACGACAACCGGTGTGGATAGCTACAGCAAGGATAAAAGATCGAGCTTGCGGGCAGGGCGCTTGTTTGAGGATATTCAAGCTATCGCGCCCTCCCCGAGGGGCAACGCAACCAGTGTTGTCGGGGTAACAAAGAAGCCCCTTGGTTTCTCAGAATTGTTGGTGCAACCTAGTGAATTGTTGCTTGCGTTGCTTCCGTGTCCTTAGTTCCGTGTCACTGGGATGATCAGGGCCGAGAGCGATTGGAAGCCGTGGACAGCAGCGGGGATTTGACTGCTTCGGCCTGATTTACGCTGTTCGACTTGAGCGCTCTCGACTGTGCGCTTTGTGTGCTTCGTGTGGTTTGCTGTCGCTTGCGAGGTTGTTTGCATGGCAGTTCTCAAGGCGCCCCCAGTTGCTCCTGCCTCCCCTTCGCATGTTGAGTGGCGCAGGTCAAAACAAGTGCCGAGAAGTGGGGACATCGGTTCGAAGAATTGCAGAAGGAACCCGGCTTTTGCGTGTGACATCTTGGGGGCTTCAGCCTGTCGCGCTGGAGTTTACGCAGGCGCAGAAGCTGCTCGTAAAGCAGCGCTTTCAGTTTCCAGAGGCTGGCTGGGTCGTGAGGGTTCGCTGGCCGGTCGTTTTGCCCAGGACTGGATGCACATTGAGCAAGTGGAGGGCGAATGGGAGGTGAGGGAATACTTGGGAACAGGACGCGCTTCCTAGAAACCACTCAATGTTCAGGCTTTCGAGCAAATCTTGGCACGGAGGAACCGGGCAGGCAACTCAGTCCCTAGAGTCACGCTGGGTGCAAAAACTCTAAGTCTCACACCCACACACCAATGCGGACCTGCGTTGCTAGCTGAGTGCTTGTTTTACATTGACAAGCTAAGATCTTGGAGCACGAGCTGCCAAAGCTGCGATCGGTCTTGGTGCAGAAAGACAAGCAACTTGAAGAGAACATCACGCAGCTGTACGCGGAATGGCCTGGCTCTTTGATCGCGGAATGGCCTTGTCGGCGGAGTTCGATGCTTAGGTCCAGCCAGAAGCCAGTTCAGGGCAGCCTCAAGCCGACAGATGCCATGAAAGTCATCAAGGACTTCGATGCCAGGGGCCTAACCGGCCAAGCGCGTTTGGGAGCTTGGCGATTGGGCGTTTGTAGCGGTGGGCTGCAATTTACAAGGGAGGGGTCGTTTTTTTTGGGATCTTTTTTCGTTGGCTTCTTGGCTTTTTGGCTTCTTGGCTTTTGGCTTCTTGGCTTCTTGGCTTTTTGGCTTCTTGGCTTTTGCCTTCTTGGCTTCTTGGCTTCTTGGCTTTTTGGCTTCTCAGCTTCTGCCCTTCGCATCCTTTGCATTCCCAGTTCCTCTTTGTCTTTTGTGGCTTTTCGCTGGTTTATGCTGCTTTTGGCGGTTTTAGCTTTTTGCATCCTCCTGTCCGGGATGTGGCTTCCCGCATCATCAGCATCACCAGTTCCTCCCTATTTGAATCATCACTTCAAACATCATAGGGGGGGAAGGCCCCCCGCAAACTACCCGCTACTGTTTAGATTGCTTGCAGAGTAATTGCACCCCCTATTTGAATCAACACTTCTTCAAACATCATGGGGTGGGGGCTGCCGCCTCCCCCCCGCTTCTTTGGGGATTTATGTTGCAGAGATTGAATTGCACCCCTAGTTCAATCATCACTTTTCAAGCGTCCAATTTCGCGAGAAAATGCTGCAAAATACAACATTTTATGCATTCTGTGTAATAATGTATGTCTGTATGTATGTACTTCTTGCGAACATCATAGGGGAAGCCACCCCCTCCAACCTTCCCGCTGCCTTTTAAATTCTATCGCACCCTTTCTTGAATCATTGCACCCCTACTTGAATCATCACTTCTTCCGACATCATGGGGGGGGCTGCCGCCCCCCCCAACCCCCCCGCTACGTTTTAGATTTTCTACAGAGATTTAATTAATTGCACCCCTCCTAGTTGAATCATCAATTCTTCGAACATCATGGGGGGGGCTGCCGCCCCCCCCAACCCCCCCGCTACTTTTTAGACTTTTGCAGAGATTTAATTGCACCCCTGTTCAAATCATCACTTCTGCGAACGGGGCCGCCCCCCCAACCCCCCCGCTACTTTGTAGTGTTTTTTTTACAGGGATTGAAATGCTCCTTTTTGATTTTTGATTTTGTTACCCACGATTTGTTGGTGATGCTAGGGATGTTGGTCGGACATGCGGGGGATGTTGAAAACGATGCTGGGGATGTTGACGGGCTTGTGTAAAATGCGCAAATTTCGCGAGAAAATGCAGACATTTTACTGGCCTGGACGAAAAACGAAAAAGAATCTAAAAAAAAAAAAAAACGAAAAAACTCATAAAATAAATCCGCACCCATTTACAAGTGACTATCACAATTTGCTAGTTAGTGTGATTTAGTGACTTTCGGAACTGCTGGGATTCCAGCGTGCGGCGAGTGTTTGTCGGGAACAACAAGCGTCAGCGATATACGATTGCCAGCGGAACTGGTCCCTTGTTCGCACTTCGTTCGACCTAGTACCACGCACTGTTGTAAGCCTGACTTGAGCCAAGTTGGCCCTATGTGTAAACATGCTAAAACACGCTACGCGTCACATGACTGACGCTTCACACAAACACGCGCAGACAGGAACACGCGCAGACAGGAACAACGACAGATGACCACAATCGAGCTGATTGGCTTCCGTACTTGGGGATATCGTTTGTGTGGTGTGGATAGGCACACCGTTTGAGACCAGAATCAGTTCCCCCTCGAGTCTCAAGTTTTCAGCTGTAAGGTGTAGCCCACGCGCTGTGACGTCTTCCCGGCCCCACCAAGATTCACGATCTTTTGTTGAGCAACGTCTCAGCTTTGCAGCAAAGCTGAAAAGCCACCGGCAGCTCGTCCCAAGTCCTGCGCTGCTTCTTGCCCACCTGCAGCAAAGCGGGTATTATGATGATGCCAGCAGTATGATGTGACTTCTGCGCGACCATGTTGTGTTGGGGTATATCATTGTTTGCAAGTGTCACGTCCCACTGTCAATAGAGCCTATGCAATCTAGAGTTCAAAATAGAGCCTACCCAAAACCCACCCGAAGCCAATCCTGAAGCCACCCCTCGCCCTGAAGCCAACTTCAAACCTTAAATTAGCTATAACTTTCCCAAGCCAAGCCTAAACCCATCTTAAGCCATCAACCCGCCCTAAACACGCCTTAAACCGACCAACCCCCCACCCTGAACCCACCCTTAAAACCACTCTGATCCTACCCAACCAACCCTTGTCTCACCCAAAGCCCTCAGAATCAACTTGCAACCAATCCTAAGCCCGCCATCCATTCCCACCCATCCCAAGCCAATCTTAAAGCGACCTTAAAACCACCCTAAACCCACCGCCCACCCTGGAAACCTAACTCTGCCAACCTTAATCCCCTCAAAGCCCACCTTCCATCTTACACACACCTTTACGAACCCAAAAACCAACCCTAAACGACGGGCCCTAGGATGGACTTCCGACAGAGAAAAAATCCCCAGACAAGAGCATCTTTCTAACACTTTCCGGAACCGCTGACAATTGGCTTGGGCGCTCTCCTCCGCGATCAACACGCAAAGGACGCCAATGGAAGAATTGAGAGGTGCATTGCATCCTGGCAGCGGACAAGTGCCCTTAAAATGCACAAGCCGCTTGCTGGTGATGCTCAGGGTGTTGGTGATGCCACGCTCCCCATGGTGATGTTATTGCCGCAACAGCAACCAACAAGCCAGCTTGCCCGACCAAAGCTGATTTACGACCCTGCAACCGATAGCTTCTATAACTATCATCTTTCGGAGTGGTTGTTTCAGTGCCTTTCCCCTCTCCCAGGGACGAAAAGGTTAGTTTCCACCCAAGAAGCAAACCCTTGTCAGCACGGAACCCTTGTTCCTAGCTCTGGAATTTTATAACGCTTTCCCAACAGGTAAACAGCTAAGCCTTTTGTTTCGCTGCCGTCATCCCGCTGACTGGTCGTTTTCATTGGTAAAACAAACAATACTACAGATTAGAAGCGTCTGCCTCGATCCATACTCGTTGCAGGAAACGGGCCAAATGTCCTGATTTCAGTTGTTTTTTCGTTTTTTCCCGCAAGTTGGGTGTCTCTGCGTTGAGCAAAGCAGGAAGCCGCTTGTGCTGGCAGATTGCGGTTGACGGTCTTGCCCCAGAACGGCAAGGCCCAATTCAGTACAGATCCAAGGAGCGTCTGCAGATGCTTCGGGAGCAGCACAGCCAGCTGCTGCAGCTTAAAAAGTCTCTGCAGATGGAGGCTGGGGGACAAGTGTTCAAGCAATGTTTAATGTTTCCCATGGACGTGAGACGTGAGACTCGATGTCTCATTTTTAAACGTTGCACCTTTTGGGTGATTAGATGCGTCGAACTTGTTGCCTGAGGTTGGCGATGTTGAAGCACTTGCACCGTTGCAGGAGGAGATGTCTTCGACATAGCAAGTTGTGATTGCTGAAGCCAAGCCATTCTGTTGCTGTGAGATATATGCTGCGACGTAGGAGATGGAAAACCTCAAGGACGTTTGGCTGGTTTCTCAGAAGATATACAGTGTGCTGCAAGGGTCAACAAATGAACAAACTCGTTCCAAGGGCTGAAATTAACACCGTGCACAGCCGCGTGGAGACGCTCAAGGACGGACTGTTCCTGCGCTTGGCGCGTGACATCTGCTTTCCCACAAATTTCCCCCCACAGTTGGGCTGGGGTTGCTGCTTTGGCAATCTTAGCCGTTTCTACAAGGCACTATGGTGAGCGTCGGAATCCTTGTGGCGATTCGTTGAATCGATTTCAACTTGTGAAGGAGACGCTCTGGACTGCAGTGGAGCCCAAGCGCATCAAGAATGCACTGGAGGTGGGACCGCTGGCAAGAGCCGCGAGCAATGTGCTTCAATATCTTTTCACGCGCAATGAAATACGCTAGCGCTCGAATATTCTGTTCTGCCCTGAGCTCCGAGAGACTGGCTATTTTCTTGTCAACTGGGGGCAAGAACAGGCTTGGCATGGCTTGGCAGTCGCTTGAGTCACTTGGCCGCAAGACCTGCCACCGCGGCATGCCTGCGAGGACTTGCTGTCAAACATGAAGCAGATGGATCGGCGACTGCAGCAATACGAGGTGGATGGTTGATCCTCAAGCGTGTTCCTCGACTCTACTTTTCAGGCCTTTGACCATATACAAGAGCAGCTGCAAGGGCACATCAAGTTGAACCAGGCCAATGAGCTTTGCCCTTTTCACCTTTCCACCTTTTTGTCGCTTCTTGGCCTCTTGGCCTCTTGGCCAATCTTGTCTTGCAGGTTGTGGCCGAGCTGAAGACCGACGCCTTGAAAGAGCGACACTGGAAGCAGATTGCAGGGGTGCCCGAGATGTCTCTGCACGAACTCTAGCCCGAACTCCGAACTCCGACTGCGAGGTGCAGATGCTGAAGCTTGCCGTGGGCTTCAACGAGCTCACGCCCGGAGCCCCGAGAGTCGGAGCGAGTCGGAGCGAGTCGGAGCGAGTCGGAGCGAGTCGGAGCGAGTCGGAGCGAGTCGGAGCGAGTCGGAGCGAGTCGGAGAGTCTCTCTCGGTCAGGCTGGGCCATTTGTGGGACTCAAACCTCGAGAAGCACCAGCCGGCCATCAAGGAGATCCTCGCCCGGGCTCAAGGTGAGATGGGCCTCGAGCAGTTCCTCGCAGAGGCGCAAGTCGATGCGAGAGTTCCCGGTCAAGCCGGCCGACCCCGCTCGTGGCCAGGTGAGGGAGAAGTGGAGCAACTATGAGTGCAGCTCCTAGACACGTCGATTTTTGTGCTGCTTGCACAGTGCTGAAATCCGTGTGTAATCTTTGGCGTTGATCGAGTTTGGAATTGGTGCCTTACAAGAGCAAGTGCCGCCTCATCCGCTCGTGGGCAAGAAGCCAAGTTGTTCCACGAGTCGCACACAAACCAAACAGCAGCATCGTTTCCGCTTCCAGGATGACCTCTTCAGCCAGCTGGATGAGCACTTGCAGAACCTCGGCTGATTAGTTGGGCATATCGCATGCTTGTGTTTGGCAGGCATGGGCGTCATTTCCCACACTGTGCTTGAGCCAAATTTATTCTGTCATGCTCGGTTCTGCCGTGTGCGGAGTGTGGAGCTCGTAGCCAGTTCTCGCTCCGGAAAACCCTTCGCATTTCTGGGATACGCGAGGAGTGTCTTGGTGGAGCTGGAGTCGTCGTGCTACAATGGCCCTTGAGTTTCGTGAAGGGGTACCGCTCCTCCCGCTCCTCCTGGTTCCATGTATTCATTTTAGCCCGTACAAGATGCAGCTGGATGCAGCTGGCACATGGTCACGCAGCTGTGTGGTCTGTGCGCGAGCATCCCTGACAGCCCCTCACCATGCAGGTCTGCGCATCTGACCCGCGGGTCTCGTAGGGGTGGGCCATGCCAACCTCATCGCCTTGAGCCTTTCAGTCGTCATGCGTGGCCGACTGGCCCACTTTACTGCTGGGCTTAGGAGTTTGCCAGTTGGCAGTTGCGAGCTTGAGCTCTATGCTCGAAAGATGACCTTTAGAGTCTTCTTGCAGATCAGATGGCGCGCGCTTGCCCGAGCTATTTGTTCGTGAAGCCAAGCCTGACGGATGGAGGCACTGGCTCCAGCTGCCCGAGCTGCGCAGAGGGCCTGCCCTTGCAAAGCAAGCCTTACGCCCCGCCCGTCCAGTGGAAATGCTTGCGGGTCTCGTGTCTGATTGCCTGGCGCTTGTCAGATCGGCCGGGAAAGGGTGCGACCTTCTGCGTGTCCCAACTCTTTGAGTTGCGGCGCCCGGTCAAACTTTGAGGTCTCTGGCACTGTGCAGAGGCAGAGGGTATTGGCTGGCGTCGCGCTTGGGGCCATAAAGCGCCCCTTTGCAGAGTTCCCTTTCAAAACAGCACCAATTTTCATCACGAAAGCAGAATGCTGGTCGCCTTCGCGACTTACGTGTCTCGGAATGTGTCACCCTTCTTGTGTTTGCCAACAAACGCGTTCCTTGAAGCAAAAACTTGGGCGCGCAGGCGGGTGTTTGGCCCCATTTCATCTGAATTTGTTTGCTAAAGGCGAAGGCCATTTTCATGGCATACACAAAGTGGGCTGAGCCGTCCAAGGAGCGTGCAGTCCATGAAGATGTCACCCTACTACAAGTCCTTTGAAGATGAGGGTGCGACGTGGGATGTGGTGGCCCCAGATGCGCGCCCAAAGCTGTTGGCGGTTTCAGGCGGTACCGAGCTTGATGGAACTTGCTGTAAGGCCACTGTGCGATAGAATAACTAGAGGTTCATTGGGTTTGGGCGCTGCTCAGATGATTCAGGCAAATGAGGCTGTACCGAGATGTTGACAGGACAGGCTGAACAAGATCCGCATCGTTTTCGATCTCTGGATGGACGTGCAGCGAAGATGGGTATACTTGGAAGGAATTTTTGGAAGCAGTGCGGACATTCAGCAACTGCTTCCAAATGAATTTGCTCGCTGCAGCCTCAGATGGCGCCAGCGACTGAAGGGATGAACAGATGAAATTAAGGCTTCAAGACCATCGACTCTGAGTTTGTCGGGCTGATGAAGAAGGTTGCTGCGAAGCCCAAGGCCACAAAATCGCACTGCACACATGTAAATTTTGCATGTCCAAGGTGCTCGAAGCCGTGGCAATTGAAGGTGTGCAGAAGCAGCTGGATCGACTCTCGGACATGCTGACGGCTGTCCAGAAAGCTTTAGGCGACGTGTTTTTCCGCATCGCGTAAGATGTGTGCCTTATTGGCTTCGATGGGCTTCGATGGGAGGCGATTATTTGGAGAAGCAGCGCTCTCAATTTGCCCGCTTTTACTTTGTGGGCGACGAGGACAAGCTGAAGCTAAAGTCCTCAAAGGTATCTTCGAAGTTTGCAGGACTTGCTTGAGATGATCGGCAACTCCAAAGATGTCGCCGCAGTGAGCCGGCACCTGGCAAGCGCCCCAACGCGGACTTTGCGCTTAAGTCGCCTCCGCACAAATCAGCCAACACGAAGATCTGTGAATTTCCTTGATAATGCTTTTTTGCTCCCCAAACCCGGCGCGCTTCTTAGTTCTTCTTGATTCTTTTTCTTAGCGCTTCTTCATGCTCCTTGACGCTTCTTAGTTCTTCTTGATTCTTTTTCTTAGCGCTTCTTCATGCTCCTTGACGCTTCTTAGTTCTTCTTGATTCTTTTTCTTAGCGCTTCTTCATGCTCCTTGACGCTTCTTAGTTCTTCTTGATTCTTTTTCTTAGCGCTTCTTCATGCTCCTTGACGCTTCTTAGTTCTGCTTGATTCTTTTTCTTAGCGCTTCTTCATGCTCCTTGACGCTTCTTAGTTCTTCTTGATTCTTTTTCTTAGCGCTTCTTCATGCTCCTTGACGCTTCTTAGTTCTTCTTGATTCTTTTTCTTAGCGCTTCTTCATGCTCCTTGACGCTTCTTAGTTCTTCTTGATTCTTTTTCTTAGCGCTTCTTCATGCTCCTTGACGCTTCTTAGTTCTTCTTGATTCTTTTTCTTAGCGCTTCTTCATGCTCCTTGACGCTTCTTAGTTCTTCTTGATTCTTTTTCTTAGCGCTTCTTCATGCTCCTTGACGCTTCTTAGTTCTTCTTGATTCTTTTTCTTAGCGCTTCATGCTCCTTGACGCTTCTTAGTTCTTCTTGCTCCGCTTCTTCATGCTCCACGCTTCTTAGTTCTTCTTGATTCTTTTTCTTAGCGCTTCCTCCTTGACGCTTCTTAGTTCTTCTTGATTCTTTTCTTAGCGCTTCTTCATGCTCCTTGACTTCTTAGTTCTTCTTGATTCTTTTTCTTAGCGCTTCTTCATGCTCCTTGACGCTTCTTAGTTCTTCTTGATTCTTTTTCTTAGCGCTTCTTCATGCTCCTTGACGCTTCTTAGTTCTTCTTGATTCTTTTTCTTAGCGCTTCTTCATGCTCCTTGACGCTTCTTAGTTCTTCTTGATTCTTTTTCTTAGCGCTTCTTCATGCTCCTTGACGCTTCTTAGTTCTTCTTGATTCTTTTTCTTAGCGCTTCTTCATGCTCCTTCACGCTTTTTAGTTCTTCTTGATTCTTTTTCTTAGCGCTTCTTCATGCTCCTTGACGCTTCTTAGTTCTTCTTGATTCTTTTTCTTAGCGCTTCTTCATGCTCCTTGACGCTTCTTAGTTCTTCTTGATTCTTTTTCTTAGCGCTTCTTCACGCGCTTCTCTTTTTCTTAGACTTCTTCATGCTCCTTGACGCTTCTTAGTTCTTCTTGATTCTTTTTCTTCGCTTCTTCATGCTCCTTGACGCTTCTTCAGCGCTTCTTCATGCCTGACGCTTCTTAGTTCTTCTTGATTCTTTTTCTTAGCGCTTCTTCATGCTCCTTGACGCTTCTTAGTTCTTCTTGATTCTTTTTCTTAGCGCTTCTTCATGCTCCTTGATGCTTCTTAGTTCTTCTTGATTCTTTTTTAGCTTAGCGCTTCTTCATGCCTCGCTTCTTTTTTTGATTCTTTTTCTTAGCGCTTCTTCATGCTCCTTGACGCTTCTAGTTCTTCTTGATTCTTTTTCTTAGCGCTTCTTCATGCTCCTTGACGCTTCTTAGTTCTTCTTGATTCTTTTTCTTAGCGCTTCTTCATGCTCCTTGACGCTTCTTAGTTCTTCTTGATTCTTTTTCTTAGCGCTTCTTCATGCTCCTTGACGATAGTTCTTCTTCTTCTTGATTCTTTTTCTTATGCTTGACGCTTCTTAGTTCTTCATGCTCCTTCTTTTTCGCGCTCTCTTCACGTCTTCTTCTTTCTTGCGCTTCATTCTTGATTCTCTTAGCGCTTCTTCATGCTCCTTGACGCTTCTTAGTTCTTCTTGATTCTTTTTCTTAGCGCTTCTTCATGCTCCTTCACGCTTTTTAGTTCTTCTTGATTCTTCTTTTTCTTAGCGCTCCTTCATGCTCCTTGATGCTTCTTAGTTCTTCTTGATTCTTTTTCTTAGCGCTTCTTCATGCTCCTTGACGCTTTTTAGTTCTTTTTGATTCTTCTTTTCTCTTAGCGCTTCTTCATGCTCCTTGACGCTTGTTAGTTCTTCTTGATTCTTCTTTTTCTTAGCGCTTCTTCACGCTCCTTGACGCTTCTTAGTTCTTCTTGATTCTTCTTTTTCTTAGCGCTTCTTCATGCTCCTTCACGCTTCTTAGCTGTTCTTGATTCTTCTTTTTCTTAGCGCTTCTTCATGCTCCTTGATGCTGCTTCTTAGCTCTTCTTGATTCTTTTTCTTAGCGCTTCTTGATGCTTCTTGACGCTTCTTAGTTCTTCTTGATTCTTCTTTTTGTTAGCGCTTCTTCATTCTCCTTGACGCTTTTGAGTTCTTCTTCACTCTTCTTTTCTTAGCGCTTCTTCATGCTCCTTGACGCTTCTTTGTGCTTCTTGATTCTTCTTTTTCTTAGCGCTTCTTCATGCTCCTTGACGCTTCTTTGTGCTTCCTGATTCTTCTTTTTCTTAGCGCTTCTTCATGCTCCTTGACGCTTCTTAGCTCTTCTTGATTCTTGTATTTCTTAGCGCTTCTTCATGCTCCTTGACGCTTCTTAGTTCTTCTTGATTCTTTTTCTTAGCGCTTCTTCATGCTCCTTGACGCTTCTTAGTTCTTCTTGACTCTTTTTCTTAGCGCTTCTTCATGCTCCTTGACGCTTCTTAGTTCTTCTTGATTCTTCTTTTTCTCTTAGCGCTTCTTCATGCTCCTTGACGCTTCTTAGTTCTTCATGTTTCTTCTATTTCTTAGCACTTCTTCATACTCCTTAACACTTCTTAGTTCTTCTTGATTCTTCTTTTTCTTAGCGCTTCTTCATGCTCCTTGACGCTTCTTACTGCCCTTCATTCGTTTGCTTTTCACCACTTCTTAATGCTTCTTGAGGCTTCTTACTGCCCTCCATTGCCTTTTTACCGCTTCTTAATGCTCCTTGACGCTTCTTACTGCCTCTCAACAATTCTGCTTATTACCGCTTCTTAATGCTTCTTGACACTTCTTACTGCCTCTTACTTCTTCTGAATGCTCCTTAACGCTTCTTACTGACTCTCAATTATTCTGCTTCTTACCCTTTCTTAATGCTTCTTGACGCTTCTTACTGCCTCTTGATTCTTCTGCGTTTTACCGCTTCTTAATGCTCCTTGACACTTCTTACTGCCTCTTAATTCTTCTGCTTCTTAACTGCTCTTACTGCCTCTCAATTTTTCTGCCTCTTACCGCTTCTTAATGCACCTTGACGCTTCTTACTCCCTCTCAAGTCTTCTGCTTCTTGACTCTTCTTAATGCTTCTTGACGCTTCTTACTGCCTTTAAATTCTTCTGCTTTTTAACTCTTCTTACTGCCTCTCAATTCTTCTGCTTCTTACCGCTTCTTAATGCTCCTTGACGCTTTCTACTGCCTCTTAATTATTCTGCTTCTTAACTCTTGTTGATGCTCCTTAACGTTTCTTACTGCCTCTTAATTCCTTTGCTTGTCAACGCTTCTTAATGCTCCTTGACGCTTCTTACTGCCTCTGAATTGTTGTACTTCTCAACGCTTCTCAATGCGCCTTGACGCTCTTAGTGCCTCTCAATTCTGCTTGTTAACGCTTCTTCATTTTTCTTAGCGCTTCTTCATGCTCCTTGACGCTTCTTAGCTGTTCTTGATTCTTCTTTTTCTTAGCGCTTCTTCATGCTTTTTGACGCTTTTTAGTTCTTCTTGATTCTTTTTCTTAGCGCTTCTTCATGCTCCTTGACGCTTTTTAGTTCTTCTTGATTCTTCTTTTTCTTAGCGCTTCTTCATGCTTTTTGACGCTTCTTAGCTCTTCTTGATTCTTCTTTTTCTTAGCGCTTCATGCTTTTTGACGCTTCTTAGCTCTTCTTGATTCTTCTTTTTCTTAGCGCTTCATGCTCCTTGACGCTTCTTAGCTGTTCTTGATTCTTCTTTTTCTTAGCGCTTCTTCATGCTCCTTGACGCTGCTTCTTAGCTCTTCTTGATTCTTTTTCTTAGCGCTTCTTCATGCTCCTTGACGCTTCTTAGCTCTTCTTGATTCTTTTTCTTAGCGCTTCTTCATGCTCCTTGACGCTTCTTAGTTCTTCTTGATTCTTTTTCTTAGCGCTTCTTCATGCTCCTTGACGCTTCTTAGTTCTTCTTGATTCTTTTTCTTAGCGCTTCTTCATGCTCCTTGACGCTTCTTAGTTCTTCTTGATTCTTTTTCTTAGCGCTTCTTCATGCTCCTTGACGCTTCTTAGTTCTTCTTGACTCTTTTTCTTAGCGCTTCTTCATGCTCCTTGACGCTTCTTAGTTCTTCTTGATTCTTCTTTTTCTCTTAGCGCTTCTTCATGCTCCTTGACGCTTCTTAGTTCTTCATGTTTCTTCTTTTTCTTAGCACTTCTTCATACTCCTTAACACTTCTTAGTTCTTCTTGATTCTTCTTTTTCTTAGCGCTTCTTCATGCTCCTTGACGCTTCTTACTGCCCTTCATTCGTTTGCTTTTCACCACTTCTTAATGCTTCTTGAGGCTTCTTACTGCCCTCCATTCCCTTTTTACCGCTTCTTAATGCTCCTTGACGCTTCTTACTGCCTCTCAACAATTCTGCTTATTACCGCTTCTTAATGCTTCTTGACACTTCTTACTGCCTCTTACTTCTTCTGAATGCTCCTTAACGCTTCTTACTGACTCTCAATTCTTCTGCTTCTTACCGCTTCTTAATGCTTCTTGACGCTTCTTACTGCCTCTTGATTCTTCTGCGTTTTACCGCTTCTTAATGCTCCTTGACACTTCTTACTGCCTCTTAATTCTTCTGCTTCTTAACTGCTCTTACTGCCTCTCAATTTTTCTGCCTCTTACCGCTTCTTAATGCACCTTGACGCTTCTTACTCCCTCTCAAGTCTTCTGCTTCTTGACTCTTCTTAATGCTTCTTGACGCTTCTTACTGCCTTT